TGATCGATTTATCGCGACTTAAACACGGGCGATAAATCGATCACAGAACATCGATGGAGGGTCGCCGGACCAGCCGGTAAGTGAAGACTAGGCCTTAGATTCAGCATACTGTAAGCAAAAGTAGTTCAGTACTGAGCACAGGAGTTCTCATTCTGTAGAGAATTTTGTTTCTTATCTCTAACCTACTGATAGGAATTTAAACATTTTTAAAAGCATATACTCTTCTTTAGTAGGTGAAAGACAACAGTTAAAAACCAAACCTGTTATAATGGCATCCAATTTCTGTGGCAAACAGTGCCTATAAAAGACTTACTGTAAATCAGCTTATGCTACCGAATGTATCAAAGAACAACAGAAATGAATTAAAAAAAGGTACATTCCAACACTCTTAGCAAGTTTCAGTGAATAAATAACCTCCTTTGCCCACTAATGCACTGAAGTTGTTGCTGGGTATCTCTGTAGGAAATAGTTTAATCTGCTCAGAAGCTTAAAGTTAATCTTTCCAAAAGAACGCATACTCATTCATCAGGAATTAGGTATTACGCCTTTGCAAAGATAACATGGTTTTTAAAGACAAAGTGCAGCATATTTAAAAACAATAGGTCTATTTTTCATTTGATGCTTGGGAAACATATGTGGGTAACTCTGTTTATGGGAGTTACCCTCGCAAAGCCCTTGTGAACACATCGTAAACTGTTGAGGTCTGATAACCTATTTTTCTTCTCTTCCTATGCAGCTCCATATTATTGTTTTTCTAGCTTTAGAGCACGATTTTTAATGGGAAAGTGGGATAACTTATGCTACAATGTATTGTGTGCAAATGGTACTCATCTACAGTGACAGGCTTCCCACAAAGACCTAAGATAAAAAGAATGTCAGCATTGGATTATTTGCTTGGGCTGACAGTGCAATATGAAACTGGAACATTCAGCACTAAAAGCATGAGCCTCTGTTACTTGAACTAAAAGTACTAAATCTCCTGTCTGGGAGCTGTAGCAGACTCTGTGGATCAGCCATTAGAGGGGCATGTGCAACGCACACTGAACAGTGGGCTACAGTCAGAGCTCATCATGTCTAGACATCATGAGAACCCACAAGTTTAAAAAAAAAAAGACACCTTTCAAAGTTGCAATCAACCTCCCAAAGGCTCACACGTTACAACAAGAGTTCAAAGAGATTGTTCTCCCTCAGCCATATATAACGCCTTTTAATCTCACATGCATGTAGGAAGAAGAGTACCGATCCCATTGTGTTTAACTATAAACTAATTCATGTAATTAAAAAACACAGAGTGCTAGTTCATACGGCCTGAGACACAGGCCCACATTAAGAAAACATCCTTGGTTACCAAGGAAGAGTCAGAGGGAGGGACAATTACTTTACCTTATGGCTGCCTCTACTTCACTTCCAGGAACAGTTGTCACGTTTCTGGCAGAGTCTGTGACCACAAACCAAAATGACACCCTCTCTGTCATATTGCAAAGCAGCACATTGGAAATTCTGTGAACATTTAAAACAAAATGAAGTCATTGTAAAATAAGTAAGTACGTACTGAAGTGATGCATGTTATCACTGTATTTCACAGTGTTTTAGTGTAAGGAGAAAAATCTTTTAGAAAAGGAAATTATTAGCGTCTGTTAATCTAATAAGAAAGAATGAGAAAGAAATACTGGTCATATTTTCTATCCTCCAATACAGTAACAAAACAATAACAAAATAACTGTATGTATAGAGGCTTTATTTTATTTTTAAAAACATTTTATAGCCATATCATCACCGTCATCTCACCACTAGGAAATGTGTTTTCAACCATATATATATGTAGGGCCAGCTTAGCGGGGCAGGGACCATATTTTTGTTCTGTGTTTGTACAGCACCCATCACAATGGGGTCCTGGTCCAAGACTGGGACTCCTAGGGGCTAAGGTAATAATAATAATAATAATTAATAATAGTGTACAGCTAGGACTATGACATCAGGAGCAGATTCCCTAAAGTAGGGTTACCATTCGTCCGGATTCCCCCGGACATGTCCGGCTTTTTGAGCTAAAAATAGCGTCCGGGGGGAATTTGTAAAT